CATTCTACCATTGCTGTGACACTGTGATATCCAGGCATCTCGCCTCAGCAGCATGGAAGCAGAAAAAACTGGGAAGCCACACATTACATCTGGCTGCTGCTGGCCCCAGACTCATACACAGTCCCATGTGCCTCATCAACTCTGTTCAGCAGTGTTTGAATGCTTTCCTTCCTCCTTTTCATCATGTTAAGGGTGCTGGAAGATATTTTTATAAAGACAAAAGAAAACACAGCTTAAGCTAAGATTCATTTATGTAGGTCCACTGTCATCTGGATTTTCCTCATATTTTAATTAATTATGCCTACATATTTGAAGGAAAATATAAGAAAAGTGCTTATCAGGGAAAAAGCTCAAGTTGGCAGAAATTATTCCTTTCATTTTAAAATGCTAGCAATTAATACTGTGGCTGTTGCTCTAGAGAAAGGCCATTTGGACCCTGAAAAATCATAAGATAACTGAGGGTTAGCCATCCTCCTCAACTGCCAGAAAACTGTCAGCTCCATTTGCTTCTCCAGCAGTTAGGATGCCAATACCAGATCAACACTGCAAAGGGTTTTTCTCCACACCCATCCTCCCTTTTAAACAGCTGTGATATACAAAACCACAGTTGTCTGGTGTGATAAGCCTGAACTCTCAACAAGGCCAAAGATCAGCTTTTTCCTATAACTTGGACTGTCTCAGGACACAGACTTCCTGCTTTGACAGACTCTTCCTGTGCAAGACTGAAGTCAGTGTTCAAATCTACTCCTGAAGGCTATACAGCTGATATTTGGCTGATGTCTTTTTGTCCTTCACTTAGATAAGGAGTACAATGGTTGAACTCATTAAAGAAGTGAAGCAAGGTGATGCAAAACAGAGCAAGCACCACAATGGGTTAGGAAATGCAGCAGCACTTACTGAACACTTCTTCCTAAATATAGGTAGAAGATACAGAGTCCTTTACTGACAACTTTAGGGATGACTGTAAAAGCCTTTCAAAATTTTAATAGTGTACCATTTAGTATTCATATAAGGCATAAAAGTTAGTTTGGAAGTGATCAAGACTGTTTCAGTACCACTGCCAGTATCTTCTCTTATTTTACTGCTTATTTTATTGCCATTACTGCAGCAATCTCAAAACCACATTTTAAACTGAAAAATACATCTTTGACTACCTTGTGAAAGTTTTGGAATTGTTTGCCTTTCAAAAATAGAGCCTGTGTGATAGATCAAATAAAAGTTCCTTTCCAAGTTGTGATCAAGCTGAACTTTAAGTTTAGACTACGTGAACACACATGCAAGCTTCCTGAGACAGGATGTGTTGGTTATAGGAAGTATCAGGTTCTGTGCTGTGGGGAAATGTTAAATCTCAGGTTTTAGCTGCAAAACCTTACAGCTCTCTAAGAATGTGCTGTGCTGACAGTGCTTCCTTTCAACCCACAGGGCAGAGTACATGAAATTAGTACTTTTTTTCTAAAAGTGAAATGTTAAAACAGTTCCACTGAGCATCCTTGATTGTGAAAAACTGTGCATTTACTACGAACAAAAATTATAACAAAAGATTTTAGAACAAGTGGATGGACCAGTAATTTACCATTAGAAACATTGTGTGGTATTGCTGTATGAATTATGCTGTCCTAATTTCTTCAGGCTGCTTATGATACATATTCTTGATGCTTTTACACCAGTGAACACAAATGAGGGCATTTTAAAGTTGCTCTTAAGGTTTAACTCAAATCTGTTTATACACTACATGTTTCCTTCCTTTCTCTGTGCTCATGTTTCCTCATGGCTCTGGATGGCATTCAAGGGAAGCAGGTTTTTCCACAAAAGAAGGTATCAGCACTCCTCAGCAGAAAATCTAGGTTGAGACAATATGCATGTATCTGACCCTATCTCAGAAAACACAAGCCCAGCGCTTTCTATGGATATGTGACCTACAAAAATACTTCAGATATCTTCTGTGTATCTGCCTTGTTACATGAAGATGACATTAGTTGTTTAGCTCAATTCCAAAGTAATAGCAACACAAAATGCAACATTCCTGTAGCAGGGATAGCTATTTGTAATGTCCATCTGTGTTCTCTTCCACCCACGACTGCCCAAGCAGTAACTCCTGACGTGCCTGTGCACTCACAGCAGCCCCATGGCACCAGGGATGGCTGAGCACAGCACTGCAGGAATGCACCCACTTCAGCACTTGCATTCACAAGCTCCAAAGCTCCAAAGGTGCAACAGAAAGAAGCACTGACTCACCCAGAGCCAAGTGAAGCAGAAGGCTGACCAATACCCAGTGCCTTGTCTGTGCTGTGATGGCAGGCACATCACCATGCTCTCCAACGCGCCCCATAAACCCAGTGATGCTTGCTGCTACGTTGCTTGCCAAAGTTTATTATGTATTATGAATACTTTTTCTAAAATTATCATATTCAGCCAAAGCTTTGACAAAAGGTGTTGAGTCCATTCAGTACACAGCACTCTGACAGATTAAGTCTCAGCGTTTTTCCTACAGATTGGAAGAGCATATGCTTTTCAAAAAGAGCTAGCATTTCTTGTACACTGCTTTAAAAGTTAATCTTCCTGATTTCTTTGTCAGCAATCCATAAAATATAAAGAAACATGAATAAGCAAAATTGTAAACATAAAAATTTGCCCTTAAAATATGCATAAAGATTTTAGTCTTAAATGTAGCAAAACAAGCTCCTGAACAGCATATCTGTTCTCATTCATATATTTCAGGAGCTACATGAAGATGCAGTGACATTAGAAAGATTGGTCATGATGTAAACCTGTATAACCAAATCCATTTAATTATTAGCCACACCTTAAAGATTACCACTTTAGATAGAACTAACACCACTCCTGTAGTTTTAAGTCATCTCAGTCTTAGTATGACAAAGAACATGCATTCATTTCTTTTCATGTATTTAAAGAGCTTGCACCTTCTCTGAAGTGGAAAATATAAATTACCAATTTCATTTTCCCAAGACCAAGAAAAACAAGACCAGTGGAGATGCAGGTTAATGCTTACAGGTTGCTGCTTCTTTTATGTTGTTATTGCTGTCATTGATTCCTCTTTGTATTTCATCCAGCCACAGAAGAGCTGATTCATCTTGAGATTCCTAGAAAAAGGACAGTAAAAAGCCTTGAAAAAACTGAATAATAAGAGTTATCTCAATATAGTGATACAGTTCCAATACACAGTCTCTGCTTTGCAAAGCTCTAGAACACAAAAAAAGGATTTGATTGTTTAAAATCATCAATGAAATACATTCATGTTTTGTTTACTGACTTGAAAAAGATCCTGTTCAGATACAAATCTCTGAAAGTTTTGATGTCTAGAAGAACAGAATTTGCTGATACTACTGGCAGAGAATTAATTCTACTAAAGATCAATACAAATTGAAACATTTTTTTTTCCATGATATGTAGATAAAGTAGTCTGAGTCATGTAAAATCACACAGACAGCAGGAAGCTGGCTTTCTTCAAAATCCCTTATTTGGAAAGGATCCTTGTGTATATCTAAGTACATATTACAGTGAATACTCTTATAGAAAGTCCAGATTTAGTAAAGATGACTTAGCTCATGCAAACATTTCTGTAATTAAGCTGCGGAATAGGCACTGCTATTCTTTCAGGCCTAAAGTGCATGACATTAAACCCAAGTTAAAATAGAAGGTGCATTAGAGTGGGATCAACATGCCTACTAACTAGCCCTACTGTCCAGGTTCACTGGTGATACCCACACTTCAGCAGATAAAACAGGGTTAAAGTAGTATTTTAAACCTAATCCAGTAGGTGGGTGGGAAATGCATGCTAAAGAGGAAATGTCACGCCTATCATAGACTAGCAATGAGAGAAGCTGGAATGTATTGATTAAGAGAGATCTAGGAAAATATACACACAAATATTTCAGGGAAAAAATACAGCTAGAAAGACATTCAAACTAAAACAGTGTGGATAAAGAAGCAGCTTTGCAATGAGTATCCCTGGTTAAGCACTGAAGCTCAGGTCAAATAATAAATCTGATATCCACAGAAACTACAAAAACAGGGTAAAAAAACCCCTAAAGACATGCTCTTCGGTTTACATCATGTATGTAAGCAAGGTAGCAGAATACTTAGTATAACATGAAGTGGTGTCAGACAATCACAGGACAGTGGACACATACTGCTTATTTTTCTACCAAGTGAGAGTTAGCACATGAGAGAATGTTCAATAAATCCCCAAACTGCCATTGCATTTTGAGAAAAGCTTTGAGAGCTTTTACACATTAAATACAAGAACAGACACAAATACTGCTCTGGAGCCAAGTAAAACTTATGCTGATCCTCACAACTAGCCTGGAAGCCAGACCAAGGCTTGGGTTAATTTGGCTTGGTGAAACAAGCTATTGCTATTTGGCATTGAAGGCAAAAAAAAAAAAAAAAAAAAAAAAAAAAGGGACAAAAAAAAAAAAAAAAAAAAAGCAAGCCAGGCAGAGAAAAAGGGAGGGATCAACAAAGCAGGAAATGAAAACAGGGGAAAGGAGAGGAAAGGTTTTAGAGGCTGCAGTGTGTGGCAGGATGGAAACTGCCTGGGGAGAGGCTGTAGGTGGATTGAAGGAGCCAAACAGCTAATAGTGGGTAGGGAGGCAAAAGGCAAAGCAGAATGCAGTTTTCCTGAGGTATATTTGTATGTATGGTTTCTTTCTTTCTGTCTTTGCCTTTTGCTAAACTGAGATAGTCACACCCTTCTGCAAGCCCAGCTTTTCCCTGGAGAAGGGTACAGAGTTCAGCCACGTGACATTTTGGTCCTGAATGAGACCCTTGAGGATTTACTAAACACACCCCTTGATTTTTCCAGAAAAAAACTTTTTACTCCAAATACCTGTATGTACAAATGTCAGTAGAACCCTGCATATCAGCTTCAGGCTTGTGGTAAATTAGGAGTTAAAATGCTGCTGTAAAGGATTTTATCTCTGTGTTGGGCTGAGGCTGAAACTGAGTCATATGTGCATATTTGGATACGTCACACTCTCTTGCTGTAGTAGACAAAGAACAAGTTAGCTCCTTACCATAAACCTCATGCTTACAGGATGCTTCTGGAGGACAGATCAATCTTTCTTTAGTCCCTTACAGAGAGTAACCCCCCCCCCTACAAAATGTCTCTTGAGATGAACTAGCACAGCGCCATCCTTCAGCTGGCTGGATTTCACACACTACAATGAAGATACTGTTTTTCACTGGACTGCTCTCTCTTACTTCCAATCTTTGCACTACAGGTGAGTCCTCTTTTCTGTATCTATTCCATATTTTAGTCAAGACTTTTTGATAATGTTGCTTTACCAGCTGTGGACTTAAAATGAGTTGTACATGCATGTATGATTACAGAAAACTGCTCCGGGATGTCTCCTTTAAAGCAGATTTTTATACTTTCATTTCAGTGACACATTACCCCTGCCAGTCATTTTGTAAAAATAGTTTTATTTAAGAGGACTTTCTGCACTTACTGAAGACACATCTTTTATCTAGTATTTTTGTAACAATATGAAATTTTAAACCTGTAGTGTCTTGTTTTGCAACTTCACAGATGGTGTTATTAGAAGGAAATGCCCAGATGACTATTGTGATAAAAATAACTAAAGGAAATGATCAAATAATAAACCTTTCTAGAATTAAAAATATTTTCAAAACAAGCTCATTTAGAAAAGCTGGTATAGATAAATATATATATACATACATACATAATATACATATATATGTATTTACACCTATGTCTATTTATTATACATATATCAGCCAATGCAGGCACATGGATGACTCCTAGTGAGTGGTTAAAACTAAACTTCTGGAATAACTAGCAGAAAACTACTAGAAATTATGTAGTCTGCTAATTATTATTATTATAAAACATTCTACTATTAGAGTGAACATTAATAAAATTATTCTCTTTAATTTATTCAAATATGGAAAGGTAAAAAAGGGTCCAAGGATTTTCATCCATATTTCAGTTTGCTTCTGAATTTCAGTTTCATGGTGCATGCTGAAGGCTTAACAATAAGTAATTTTGCATTAAATGCACATAAGAAAATTTAAGTGACACAAATATTTACACAGTTGTTTACTGTGCAAAATCTATTCTACAGCACATGGCTTTAAGAAGCATTTTGAGCACATTTGTGCTTCATGTGGAAATGTTGATATATCTACAAATTTGTCTACTAAAGATTGAAAAACAGGTGTTAGCAGTATTAATATCTAATAGTGTGTTAATAGTATTACTGGTTTTGCCCACATGCTGACAATATTTACTCACACATAATTTTCCTACTGCTTGAAAAGTTTTATTCACTTCTTAGTAAATCACACCTAATACTTTCCCAACCATTTGTTTTCAATTTTCAGACATTGCCCTTTCTCATGTACAAGAACCTGAAAATACCAAGTTTGCTTTAGTCAAAAGCTGCAGAATAACAGTTTCACATGTGAGACCAAAAAAACCAAGGGTAATTTCAGTTTTCTAATTTGAAAGCTTCAGTGTTAGACTAGATAGTGCTTTTTGCATCTTTTGCAGTTACTCATTTAATACATGAAGTGACAGGATAGTAATGGTGGCTGACCAAGCCTAAACAAAGACTGCTTATATGATGAATGACCAGCATTCCTACTACTGGGAAAAATCCTCCACTGGTCATAAGCATTACTGAAGTGTCTGATGTTTTTCACCAAAGATTACTGAAAACACTCAAAGCACAGAAAGGTCAGCTAACACTACGTTAATGATGAATTTTCAAGATTTGATGTGAAATGATAAATGAAGACTGTTGTCTGTACATTTGAATACCCAAAGCAGAGGAGAATGTCCCCAAATCTTTTAAACTTATACTGCTTTCACATAAAAATGGTTATCTTTCTCTGTTCTGAAGGTGAGTCATCTTGTTAATGCAGTAGTTTGTCTTTTTTAACAATTCTCACTTTTTTTTATTTCTAAGCTTCAGAATTTTCACTGAATGGCTCTGCAATTAAAACCGTGTCTCTTATAAAAACTTTTCGTGGACTTTCAGCGAGAGACTATGATTACATCCCTCCTTATGCTATAGAAGGGGAAACAACAACCATCCATATCAGAGAAAACAAATGCACTTCAACAAAGCCAAATGATTCCACGTTAACAGAAGTGAGCAACACCACGCTGGAGTACCTCACCAGCTCCCTGAGCACCAAGCTAATACCTGCTGTCTACCTCAGTGCTCTTTTACTGGGTGTACCCTCTAATGCCATCATTCTGTGGATGCTTCTCTTCAGGATCCGCTCTGTGTGCACTGCCGTCCTCTACACAAACCTGGCTGTTTCAGACCTGCTCTTCTGCATCATACTGCCCTTCAAAATAGCCTACCACATCAACGGGAACAACTGGATATTTGGGGAGACCATGTGTCGAGCGACCACGGCAGTGTTTTACGGCAACATGTACTGCTCCATCCTGCTGCTGACGTGCATCAGCGTCAGCCGCTACCTGGCCATCGTTCACCCCTTCACCTACAAGAGCCTCCCGAAGCGCGCCTACGCCATCGCCGCCTGCGCTGCCGTGTGGGCCATCGTCTTCCTCTACATGCTCCCACTTGCCATCATGCAGCAAAGCTACTACGTGAAGCAACTGGACATTTACACCTGCCACGATGTGCACAGTGCCTGTGAAACTGTGTCTTCCTTCCAGTTCTACTACTACGTGTCCTTAGCTGTATTTGGGTTTTTAATACCGCTCGCAACTATCGTGTTCTGCTATGTCTCGATTATACGAACACTCAAGACTCACGAGTGGTTCTGGTATGTTAAAGTCAGTCTGTTGATTCTTACCATCTTTGCTATTTGCTTTGTGCCAAGCAATATTATCCTTATTATCCATCACATCAACTATTACTATTACAAGACAGATAGGTTGTATTCTTTTTACCTAATTGCTTTATGCCTTAGCAGCCTAAACAGTTGTCTTGATCCTTTCCTTTACTTTCTAATGTCAAAAATTAGAAGTCAATCCAATATTTATCTGACAATGGTTAAAATATCCAGGGAAAAATGAATTTATTTCTATTACTGGAATTATGATTTTGTATAGTACTAACAGAGACAGAAAGAAATCTCAGGTGAAACATTTATACATCAAGTAAAATCGGTTAGAAAACACATTCTCAGTTAAATTTACTTCCTCCCACACAAGGAATATCTCCAAAAATACACTTCTCTAGCTCTATAACTTTATTAAATGTATTGCAACACCTGTTTTAGATTCAGAGAAGTAGCTCTGCACCTCCATTTCTTTCTGAGATCACATGGAGAAGTTCCCAGAATATCAGCTACCACAGCCTCTAAATACCAGAAGGAGTCAGAATCCAAAGAGCACTTCTAGGGCAATACATGACACTTCAAATTAGCTCTCAGCCAACAATCACTGCAGAAGCAGTGTTACAAAAACAAGTTTTGGCCTGGTGAAAATGGGAACAAGCTCTTTCTACGTGCCTGGGCGCAGTCAAGAGCAAATACTCCCTGGATATGCAGAGGGAAATACAGAGTCCCCATAGGTTCACAAAACAGTGAGTCTACAGCCGTGGACACAGAGCCTGACTCTGCCAAGGCTACCTCTCCCACGAGGCTGTTTAACCAGTTCTGCACTGGAGACTTGTTCTTCCACTTTGTCAGCGCCTGCATTCCCCTAACCCACAGGGATTGCTGGGATCTAACCCTTATCAGTGTAAATCCAGGCATATATTAATCTTGCTTGGTAAGCAAAACAGGGAAGCTATTTTGTAGTATTCTCTATTTCCACATCCTCACAGCAAATACCTACAGTGTTACAAATATGGCAGCTAGTTACTATTGACTATTAGTAAAACAATGGGTCAATTTTTACCTTTACAGAAAGTCAAAACCTACTTATATACTAATTTCCTAGAAAATTACCTCAGTGGTTGTCATTTGAATTTGTAACTGCAGCATGTAAGTGAGGCTAAAAATGTCTTATGTTGTTTTGATAATAGTATTGTAAAAAAACTTTACTTAAATAAAATGAGTTGCACTGGAAAATGCCTCAAGGAAATTTGCAGCCTGGTGAGGGTCCCCTTTTTCTATTTCTTCTGGCTGTTAATTTAAGTTAGTTTTAATCCTGTCATTCCTTCAACATGCATAAGAACAAATTTTAAAGATAAATCTAAAATAATTCAAATACTACACAACAGTTGAAAATATAAAGGCAAACCTAACTAAAACCTCTGTACCTATCACACAAAAAACCATACAAACAAACATAGTAATTTGGTCTGTCTGTTTAACTTTCCAGTTATCCACAATATGCTCCCTTAAGATAGGGTTTTTCTTCAATGGGACCCAAATACATTTGGTTTGAAAATGATTTCAGAACTGTTAAGAGCTGTGGTTTTAAGATTTACAGGACAAAATAAGTTCCAGGTTTGCATTTTCAGTTTTGAGCAAGGAACAAATAGGTCAGATCTGAGATAAGGACCTCAGATTATAAGGATGATGGGTTCTGGCAGATTTGGGTGCAGGCTCCCCCAAATCATCACAGCTATGGGGAAATGACAGCAAGCTGCTCGGATTAAGTGAGTAGGTTTGACGCATATGTTTTTCCAGATGTTGGGGCAGGAAGTTTATAGGGAGACCTATCTGATTTGTGTAAATCAAATACTTCCTTTTACCACAATTCACTCTTAAAACATGCTAAACACAAATTCTGACAGATCTGCTTTATAAACAGGGATTAGAAAAAGTGGAAAGTAGACAGACTTCAGAAATTGCATTACCTTTACAATTGCGTTTGGATTTTTTTTTAAGGAAATGTCAGTCTAAGTCATATTTTTACCTAAAGAATGGTCATATCTATGATTGATCACTGTAAAGAGTAAGTATGCATCTGAGTGTTTCTTCTGGGAGCACGCTTGTTCTGAAACAGAAGCAACACTCCTATTCACAGAGAAGGTGCGCTCAGTAGTTGCCAAAAGATTGCAAAACCTCAGAAGAGAAAGGCAAAGAGAAATCTCTACGAACATTAAAAATCTTATAACGAGAAGACGTCAAAGAGATTGTACAATTTTTGTGCCAAAATTTGGAAACACCCATTTGTTTCCTATGAGCACATTCACACCCAGACAGGAGTAGGCAGCAGGTTTGCATTTAGGGAGCACTGGGGCAGCTGGCAGGAGCGAGCCAGGGTAGGACTGTTGTGTGCAGGCACTTGTGGGCTGTAGGTCTGTGCCTTGGGGACATCCTGGCTCACTGTGCACACACATGGCACGTCCTGGGTCAGCACTGTGCAGCCAGAACCCTCACTGTGCAAAACACTGTCCCCAGCCCATCCAGGACAGCTGAAGTCAGAATGCACGAAACCTTCCCCCAGCACACGTGGCGAGAGAGAAGGCTTTTCAGCACTGAGGGCTCAGTGAGACCAGCCCTTACCTGGGAACCCTGGTGAGAAATTGATTTGTGCAAACACCTTTCAAAAGTTCTGACAGCAGATTACAGAAACACATGGTTTCACAGCAGGTACCCCAGGCAAGGTGACACAAATGCTGGAAGACACTTTACAAGCCAAAGTTTGCACACTTTCCCCACCTCACCACATTGACTGTGAATTTTAATTGTGTTTTCCAGACACTGGGCATTTTAAGTGCTGTGCTAGTAGCTTTGGCTAACCTTGTGTTCAGTCACATCCTGCAAGCTGCTAGGCTCATCTTTGTTTATGCTTCCCTGAGCTGTAATGCTAACCAGGCCTCTGCTTTTGGGGAAGCAGATAGCAACATCCTGCTGAGATAGGTTTAAACTGAAGGCACATGCAAGACTGTCAGCTTGTTACTGCATGATAAAGCTTTAAAAGAAATAAAGCTTTAAAAGAAAACTCCAGTATAATAAAACAACATAAGCAAAGGAGACTCCTCAAAATCCTTCCCAAAGATTTGTTAAATAACACCATAATTGTGACTTCTTTCTGGCAAAAACCTGATTTTCCACCTATATTGTAGCTATCTGCCTGACACTGTCCTGTAACTGCATCCTTACACAAATTCTTATCTGAGTATTGCTCCTGCCTGTATTTTGTAATAGCTGCAAGAACTTACTAGAATTAAAATAAGTGAGATTACAGCAGTAGCAAGACGTATGCAGAAAATGTCTTAATTTTAATACATTGAGAATTATTCCATTTTGCCAGTCAAAATAAGTTATTGTGCAAAATTACTTAGTGCCAGATTGTTGTCACTGGCTTATTTATAACCTCTGTGGGCAAAGATAATGTGAACACTGGGGGACCAGGACAGGGACGCAGAAGCAAAAAAAAATAATTGGCATTTCACTTCTCACAGAGAACAACAGAAAAAATTCTAACCTTGCATTTTTGTGCTTTGGCGTGGTGCAGAACATCCTGATAATGCCTTGCATTTGCTGGTCTCACATCTTGCAGCTTGGCTGTGGGCAATAGCAGGGCTTCTAGAGTTTTCTCAGGATCTCCTTGGTCAACTGCTTCATTAATGTGTCCAATTGCAATGATTCCTATGAAACAGAAAAGTTATTAAAGATGCACTTATCAAAATTGAAAATTTTCTGATATCACACACAAATAAAGCAGTAACATGAAGAGCAGAAAAATCATGAAACAAGAAGCAGAGGCAGCAACAGCAGCTGATTTTAAATTATTTTTGTTCTTATATTAATTTGAAGCTATTATGCTATACAACTCTCCTTCCTATCAAAGTTATTGATATATCTGTATAAAACTCTTCATAAAAATCAGAATTATCCCTGGCAAAAAAGGGAAAACGGATTTTTTTTTTCTGGGAAGAAGTACCTACACAAAGCTTAAGAAAAAGTTGGGTGTCACAAATCAATATGTTCAACATATTGGCTCACAGTGCTGAAAGATTTCTTTTCAAGTGATTTCAGACCACATTACTTGAAACCCTGATTTGGACAAATGCATATATACTGCACTTGCAGCTACAGAATTACATAGCAACTTAACCTAATTTCATAGAATTTCACTGTAAATAACCAATCTAACAATGCTGACCAGTGGCACTCAGTACTTCAGTCAGGAAGTAAGGCACAATGTATTTAATAAAACCTTAACTCATTTTCTTCAGACTGGACCCAACAGTTTCAAACCAATTTCCTCCTGTCCCTAAACAGTAACGAAATGTACTGCTTGTGGTCCCTAAAGCCACCACAAAAAGGCTTCAGTCAAGGGTTTCCCATCACCTGTGATGCATGACATCCCTGCTCCCTCAAAAAGTGGATCATCCCTCAACAAGTGTCTCTATACCCACCACAACCCACCTGGTGAGGTCACAGATCCAGGTCATCATAAGGCTTGGAGAATGAGCAATTTTTCCAAAAGAGGGACTATGCGGATATGGGACTCGCTTAAGGAAAGAGAGGCCTCCCTTCTTCCTCTTCTCTCTGCCCATCCGCCCTCTCTAAACACTCCCAGGCAGAGGACAGTGTCACTGAGAGAAAGAGCAGCTCTTTTGGTACTGAAGGCTTTCACTGACCCTGCAGGGTCTGTTCCAACTCCTAACAAGTGCAGAGGTTCAGACCAAAAATTACTCTGGCAGTCAAATAAACTGCTCAGCACCCTGCCTGGTCAGAGGGCACAGAGGGCAGACATGGCAACTACTGGACTAGATTTAGGAAGCAATAATCCAGCCAGTTTTAGAAATTCTGCAATATAAAATTTCCCTTACCAGTATGAAACAGCAGCACGTAGGACACTAGTGGCAGTCCAGGAAGGGCAGGAGCAGCCTGTGTCTTACAAAGGCTCTCAGAGTTTACTGAGACTACTTCCAAAATGGCAGGCAGTCTGAAAGCTGCCTCTCATTTCCTTGCTCCAGCAAATTTGGAATAACTTGATAACCTCAAAATTCTACATACAGCAGAAGAATTTGGTGCTTTAGTTTTTTTGAAGGCCAAATGACCAGCTATCACATTTAATATAACACCACCCTCTTATGGCAATACAGTTACATTCAGCTTCAAAAATAAAATCTGAATCCATTCACATGAGAACACATGGGCATAAGAAGCTGCTTCTCAGGCAGGAAATCAAGTTACCCCAAAAGAGAGCAAGACAGATATTTGCATTGTCTAACTGCTTACTGATTCCTTTGTGAAAAACAGTAACTTGGAATAATTTACACATGAAAACACTTTTCAATTGAACACTGCTTGTAATTTCTTCCTCTATCTCTCAGTATGCTCTTTGCTTACAACTGCAAAATCCCCATAGTGTAACCACCCAGGTCTGGAAGAGACTGCCAAGCAGGCAGAACCATGGCATTTTTAACCATACGTAACCATTTTTAACACTTCAGAAGGCAGGCTCTATGATGTCCTTCAGCCATCTGAAACAAACAGGAATACTTCAAGGACATTCAAAGATCATCAGGCTTTCAAAAATTTTAAATGCTCTTCTCCTTTCAAGAGCATCTGAATGAGGCCACTCAGTTCATAGATTTACATACCGAAGACCCGGCTATGACCTCTGTGGGCAATGTGGAGGAAGAATTACTTACTTTCATTTTCTTCTTTAATTTGCATATTAACCATGTCAATGCAGTTCTGGATATCATTCCAGCTTAAATAATCTTGGCCTTGAGATGAAGCCTCTGACTTAATAGACAATAGTGTATCAGCATAACTATAAGAAGATATAAAATACATAAGTGTACTTCATATATAAGATAAAGTGCCATAAAGAATTAGTCAGATGTATCATCCATCATTTAGTGGCTAGTAATTTTTTATGACTTAATTTCAGACAAATTCAGCTCTTGCCAGAACTTATACATACATGCAAGCTGCCTGTTCTACACATGCATTTCAGGATCTGAAGAAATGGCCCTATAATTCAGAGAACTTTTCTTGGTTATATGGCATGATGGCAATACATACACGTACATACAACTTCTGTATGGTGCAACAGATAAATGTGGGGAAAATTACAGTCAGCTTCTTGCTTTAGGAAACTATTATTGTCTTCTTGACACTAATTCAAAGACCAGAATTTCAGTCAGTTATAT